GTTTGAAACAGGGGCTTCGATGAAGAAATGGAATACTTGGCGACAGAGTATAGAGACCTTTATTGAACATCACCCTCAACTCGGGGATATCTCTTCATGGATGGCTTATACAGATAAACTTATGTGTAGTGTCTAGAAACACTCACACCAGCTAAATTCTGACTGTTTACTTATGATGTTATTCATGCGACTGCTGACGCCGGTAGATGCCTATGTTTCTATGGCTGTTCAGACTTGAGAGGATTTCTAGATTCTAGATTCTGCGATGGTTGTTACCTGGACCACCAACCGGTCGATGGCTGTCTAGAGTGATGGAATAGCTGCCTGACGCACAAGATCATATAAACACCAAAGCCCCCTGACGTGATCGAGGTGCAAAGACTAGAACTCCCACCCTTCACCAACGTTCTGCAAGGATGCTACGAAATCGAGCCGGCCAAGTGCACTCTCATGGGTGAGTATATAACTGCATTTTTGAGACCAAATCAAACTTACAGATTTTTGCAGGCAAAATGACGCGCAACGAATCGATTCAGATACATCCGATCGCAAGCAAATGTGAGGCGATCCCGCTCGTGCAAGAGCAACATGCTGATTCAGACAAGGTACTCTACCAGCTTCAGAAACAAGGCAGATCTATACAGCAGCAGTCATCCATACGGTCGCGTAGTTGCACGGCAAATGAGCGAGCGTCAGCAATTTGGCAAATGGAAGCTGCATATCGCAAGCCTTCACAGTGAGTCTGGAGCTGGCAGCGACCACACAATAGGGCCGCCAGTACTTGCACAGACTACACCGATCAATGCGACTGGTTCATTTCGAATACTGGGTGATGACGTTCAAAGGATTATCTTCTCGCATTTGGATTATCAGTCCCTCATTTTTCTTTCGCAGACCAGTCACCACTTTCATCAGATGGCTCGACCAGAGCTGGCCGATCAACAAGATCAGTTGCAGTTCGTCATGAGAGCTGAGAAGGAGTTCAAGCAGCACTTCCCCAACGAAAAAAGCCCTGGAAATTTTGCTTGCTACTTTTGCTACCGCGTGCTCCAAGCGGACTCTTTCAGGGAGGACCAAGCTCATGAAGCGTTCTTGGATTGCGACGGCAGTTTTGTTCTCGACGTCAAACCCGAAAACGCTGCCAAGTATGTTCGAGGTCGATCCTGGAGAAATGGGGTGCAACGTATCTGATCTTGCGTCCCAATGGCACGACATACTGGGCGCACAGGAGAACTCTTGGAAACAGGCAAATGGCTAGAAGCTTTGATAGGGAATACCGGGGGTTTGGACTGGACGTTGACGTCTATGATTTACGACAAGGTCAAACCAAAGAATATCTTCTGCATTTCCGCGGACGACCAGCGGAGGAATGTCATTGGGCAAAGGAGGATATGCTGAGCCCTGAGCTCCGGTCCGCGATTACATACCAGGCCCCGTGATTTATGTTGAAGCTAGGATATATCCATATTTCGCAGCCGCGCACCATGCCGACCAAGTACTTTCACATTCTCACCACATACATCTGTATGTATCAGGCAATGAGGGGAGACAAAGAGACTGCTGAAAAGCACTTGGAACATTGTTCATTCGATTTGAGACAAAACTATCGCCATTTTCTTCAGTACTACATAAGTCTGTTGCCGCAGTAAGCCGTGAGCGGAGGGTTTAGCGGCCTTGCTAGAGTTGCCAGGTGGATCAACACATTAAACTCTACATCTACATATAGGAGGTAGCAAGCACCCTCTCCTAGATAATACGCAATAACAATTCAGTTCGAATTTATCGAACAGCATGCAAGTAGGTGGCAGTTGATGTCTGACACTATGGGATATACAAAATTGCCGGAGGCTATAACCGCTCCCTATACGAGGCAGATTATTCTTAGTCTGAGGAGAGGCAGCAGGTTCGACGCCTCGGCAACAGACCCTTTTCGTGCACAATGTGCCTACTGGCACCAACCTAGATAGCCTCAATCAATCACGAATCTTCTGACAACCACGTTCCCTCGCTACTGCAGCCGCTTGACGTCCGGCAGCGTGTGTGTAAGATGTGGGGTGGAGAAGCGCCTTGGTGAAAAACAGCGTGGCGCAGAGATACCGGGCGCACGAGGCGCGTCGCCCGTCAATCGAAAGCACTTCCACCTTACCAGGGCCTCAAACGAACAGTTTTGAACAGTATTCTGCAGCCAAATCACTTAATTAAGCCTCCGCCGAAATGAAAGTGATCGCCCATTTCTGCTAGCCCTGTATCCCGCTTCTCGGAATAGGTTGGGCTGGTCTGCCTATATCCGATGGCCGCCTGATCGGGGTCCCATCATGCCATCGAGGCTCGCTCTTGTGACGCGTAACCCTTCTTAGGAGGGAGTGCACAAACTTATAAAGTCGCCGTACTCCTCAAGCTCAGCTTTCTCTACTTCTCTCTCGCTATCTGCCATCGCAACACTGACCCGCGAGCGCCCTCGCCCCAGTAGAGCACACGTGACCTGTCGCGTCACTCATCTTCATTCCCCAAAGTCCTACGCGACCACGAATGCTACCAGACGCCTCGAAATGACGCTGACCGAGGAACAGCGCAAGGTCATCGCGGATTATCCACTTGATGACTCGCTTTCCCGTTTTTCGGACAAGTTGTGTTACTTAGATGGATCTAAAGACACCTGGCGCAGCGATATCGCCACTGTCCTGTCCATTTTGGTTGGATCTTCTGCAGCATTCAACCTCCATTTATCAGATGGAGATAGCAATGTGGCAGGTAGGCTGATTCCCATACCGCAAAAAGTCCGAGGAGGCTCACTCGAGTACGATCATTTCCGCCCACTTGCCGACGCCGTCGCCCTTGACTCTCCCGACAACGACATCTGGACCGCGGTCATCAATCTTATTGACGCTGTCAACCCGTCGACACCTCCGCCAACGAGCATTATTCCCACCGGCTGTGGAACACCAGTCAAATCAAGCTCCAGCCGGCTCGAAGACAGCGAAACGCGCGACATCGTTGAGCACGAGTTGTTCTACGAAATAAAAGACTGCACCCATAGGGGAGTGCCCGGGTTCTTCGAAAAGCACTTCGATACAGCAAACTGGACCAAGGCTCAGGCAAAAATGCTTAAGCTGATCCTTGCAAATCACGACGGAACAAAATGGAAGGACTTCCCGGCTGACCCTTGGGAACCAGCTGTGTGGAAGTGGCTGCAGGGGCTGAAGGAGACAGCCTTAGCCGGGGCGCAATATATTCTGTATACCAACAAAAGCGCGACCGAGTTTAAAGCACGCAAGGGCCAGATGGACATCTTCTTCCAGAAGCCGAAACGAACGGAAGGCCGATTTGAGTATAAACACGTCCTAGTCGCTGGGGAGCACAAACGGTCCCTTGCGACGACGGACTTCAAAGCATGCATGTTGCAACTAACGCGACATGTTCGAAGCATCTTTGCCGACCAACCGATGCGCAGGTTTGTGCACGCGTTCACCATCAGGGCTACGACGATGGAGCTGTGGATCTACGATCGCTCTGGCGCCTATAGCTCGGGCGAGTTCAACATTCATCACGAGCCGGGGAAGCTGGCGCGTGCTCTTGTTGCATATGCCACTATGGACGATGCTTCTATGGGTTTAGACATGTCTATTGAGTGGAAAAACAGTCATCGCTACATCACAATGGAAGATGGTAACGGCGATGACAAACGTGTGGAACTGAACGGGCTGCTTGTCTGGCAACGGGCCGTGGTATGCAGGGGAACAACCTGTTTTTCGACGAGGCACGGCGTGGCTAAGTTTTCCTGGCGTTTGGATAAGCGCCAATCATCCGAAGTCAGGCTTCTAAAGCTGGCACAGGAGAGGGGCGTGGAAGGCGTTGCTACACTGGTAGGGCATCGGGAGATTACCAGCATTGCTGCGCTGCGAGCGGGCCTGGACTTTGCCAGCGGCACACGGCATGCCTTTCGAGTGATAGCCCACGACCGCACAGGCGGGTATAATCGCCCGCCGGGCTCGGAGAGCAGCGGCTCCGGCCGAAAACGCAAGTCCTCAGACAATAATTACAATAATCCTCGTCGCACGTCGCGGCGATCCAACAGTCAACAGTCTACACTGAGGCAAGCGTACGATCAATCGACCGAAGCAAACGACGAAGCAAGCGGCGAAGCGAAGTCGAGCATAAACACCCCAAACCGAGAGGACCCTTACGAGAACCGCATTTTGTCCTGCCTTGTCATTTCCCCTGCGGGACGTGTCCTCAGCGACTTCAGCACCATCCGAGAGCTGCTCGAAGCACTCCATGACGCCATCAGAGCGCATCAATCCCTGTACCTAAAGGGTGAGATACTACATCGCGATATTTCGTCGAACAACATCATCATACCAAGTCCCGGGAAGGCCGATGGGTTCAAGGGAATGCTCATCGACCTTGATCTTGCCAAGGAACGAGATAGCGGTCCTAGCGGTGCACGCCATCGGACAGGTACGATGCAGTTCATGGCGATCGAGGTGCTCCGCGGCGTTAACCACACCTATCGCCATGACCTGGAATCTTTTTTCTATGTTCTCATATGGATGTGCGCACGCTGTGCATGGGATGGAGTGAAATGTTTCCGCAAAAAGGGCGAAGCAGCGCCAGAAGAAAGCCTTTTGCGCAAATGGGAGATCGGAAGCTTCAAGGATATTGCCGACGCCAAGGAAGGCCATATGACGGTGAACAGCCTCGAGCGCATTATGAACGAGTTTCCGGAGTCATTCAATATCGCCAAACCACTGTGTTTGCGCATTCGGTCAATATTATTCGGAGATACAGCAAGACTGATGTTTGGGACACCGGCTGGAGATCCGGGACAGCTTTATGACAGTATCATTGCTGCATTCGGCAAGGCTATCAATGACTGCTAGTCGGTTGGATATTTGGCGTACGGAGACACAATTCGGCGCGCTTTCGAAACCCCTTCACTCGGCAGACACGAGGTTGGACAGCTAGATATTTGGCAAAACTGTGTGTTCTCTGGCATCTCGGCCAGTTAGGCGCAGACCAGAAAATATTCGTTGCAAATATCACGAACCGTCAGTATGAATATTGCTCTAGATGCGTGACAACCTACGCAGGTTACAGCTACTTCAAAATCTCATGGCGTGCATTTGGCAAAGTGAAAACTGGCAAGTCGGTAGAGGCACCATGAGCACATGCGCTTATCGTGATCACTGGTGCAGGCTAGCTAGGCATAAGCCTGGCCCCTAGGTCTAGCCATGTGTGCATACTTACCACGCAGGGCAGCTTGGTTGAATCAACTCGCTAGTGGCCCATCACGTAAACGAAAAACGACAGAATGGACTCCGAGTGCCATCGTATTGCAACATGTCCGCCGCCACTGTGTGAAAGCTTGGAGCAGATCATGAGGGGAATTTTTAAGGGCCTACAACGGAGTCGCTAGACAAGCAAACATATCCACACTACATATACAAGAGGTAGCGCCTTGCCCTAGACCATGTATAAATTAAATAATGATGATTCAATTTGCCTACTATATATGGACTTCGTGGTAAAGCCGGATTTTTTCCATCAACAGCCAGCTCAAGTCTCGATGAAAGATTCTATGGACTCATTATGCCATATATCTGGAGCAGAGAGGATATCAATAAAAAGGTACCTGAATTTACTACGACAATGACTAAGAATAATAGCAGCGAATACTCCTTAATATTTACCGTATAGATGGTGAAACCACGACAGATATTCTTAAGAATTATTACGTGGAACTATTAGGGTCGATCGATAGCCCAGCTTTATATGCGGAACTTGTGGGTGAGTCGGTGGATGACGAACTTGGAAATGCAACGAGACTATTGCGCGATGTTCAATGCTGCGCCCCATCATTGATTTCTAAACTATTCCACCGCAACTTCTTTGGCATCTGTATAGATGGAGCTACCCGTGTGATGATCAACAGGGTTACTCCTGAGTTTGACTTTCCTAAGTCTCGAGATCTTGTTGCGAAGTTGACGCGACCAGAAGCATGGGTAGATGGATAGGATGAAGAAGAACAGCAGTAGTCAATGTCCTTTTAGTTCAGATTTGCCTTGGTCTTTCTTTTCTTTGAATTATATATAAACAGTCGTGCTGCTTCACAGGTACCAGTCCGTCTGTAGCAACTCGCAGACTTTCGATTTGCTTATCATTTGTGGTAAACAGATTCGGGTGAACCATCCCCCCCCCAAACAAAAATTTCACGCCGTGTTTGACCTGAAGACCGATGGTCTGTCGATTAAAGCGGAAGATCTCCTGCGATATGACGAATAAGATATGCTAATTTCTTCCGGCTATGAGCTCTGCAGATACGGAAGGGCGTGCTGTCAAGCCGAGGGCGAGTCAAAGGCAAGCCGGCTACCTCTAAGTAGCAATGGATAACACCATGATGTTATAGACTCTTAACGAGCAATATGTTTACACTATATATATTCCGTCTTCCCGTATTATTAACAACATACTCTACTTGAGATAACTATGGTTCTATTCGTCCTTTATACTTGATTCACAGCTTTTTGTATTACGTAAGTCATGACGCGGAGTTAGTTATCTATTTTATTAACCCGTTTAGATAATGTGTTCCTTGGAATTCGTTGAATATCGCTGTGCCCGATGTGGGAGGCGAAGTCAACCTACACAGCGCGGAGAAGGGTGGTGTCTCATCGCCTCTCGACGACACAAGTCTTGCGCAGTTCTTTCAGGCACGCCAATTACGAAGGAGATAGTCCAAAACTGTGATAACTCTTCATGCTATAAGAAAGATAAGGTCTAAGAAGCTCTATGATAATAAGACCATATTTCTTACTGGTCATGGGGATGACGAGATGGCTCTCATTCGTGGTCTAGATCCTTGTTATGTGGGACAGATGCTTCTAGGGTCAAATTGGAAATACTATAGACCGATAGTATTATAAATAGTGCTATAGATTCTGTTGCTTTTGTTAGCTACTTCAAAGTATGGCGTACATTTGGCAAAAGTGAAAAGTTCCAAAAGCCTTCAGACTATGAGGTGAGTGCTATCAGCGCTATAATGGAATAGTGAATAACAAGTCAAGTCGTACGAAGTTTGTATCCTCGTGGAGGTGGGAAAAACTGTTCGCGATCTACTCCCATCATATAATGTACAGCTTCATGGCCACGCAGATGCCTACGCGCTGTACGCCGACGGACCTACAGCAGACGATAAGAAGACCGAAATAGACTATATCATCGACCTGTTCAAGTCTGTGAGCAAGAAGACGTCTCTGTCGGGAGAGGACTTATTCAAGCATAGTCATGCGTGCATTCGACCCTGGGAGCAGAATGGGGGGTGTTTGCTTATCATGAAGGGTATCACTGTGAATTGGTTCATTTGCCCGGCAACTGATAGCTTCGTCAGTATATACTCGAAGCTTTTCTGCCAATAGTAGGCTTACCTGTCTCAGTCGGCTCTCTCGTTTCAATTGGCGGGTTGGCACATGGTTTTGAGCTCGCGGAGGTGTTCGAGGCACTTTCGTCGTCTGAGGAAATGTCAATGACTAGGCTGTCTGAATACTTTTGACTCGGTATTAAGTAAAGATATCTCCGCCGTTGCCGTCGCTGCTGCTGTCGCTGCTGCTGTCCCTGTCGCCATCAACAGCGGTCGTGCCGTCTAGAGGCTGAGTCGTTCCCGATGACGTCTTGAATTTGTTTCTTCCACACCTTGGTCCCTGAATTATAATGCAAGACTACTTCGCAATTGAGCCAGTAATGGTCTATAGGAGAAAAGCGAGATGGAAAGTGACCCAGGTCAATTATTGTTCTGTTGCTTTAATCTCGTACAATACCGCACTTGGAGTGCTTCCTTTGACCGTTCTTCAAATTTGGCGCAAAAGCGCGAATGGATCTCAGCCCAACATAGCCCTTCTTCTTCCTTCCATCTAGCGAGCCATTGGTCTTCCGATGCTGTGAACCTCCTTCTTCCATTGTTCTTCGCGATAGGCTTAGCTTGACCTTGCTGCTTAGACCGTTTGCGAGGTTTGCGAGCTGCCTGCCCGTGTTTTGCGCAGAGATCCCAGTCAAACTGGAACAGGAATGTGGCCTTGCCGTCCATGATCGTTCGTTTTAGTACCACATCCTGCAAGATCCATTCATCGAACGCCGCATCCGCGGGCTCCGCCACAGCATGTACATCCTCTTGCGCTGCAGAAACCGGCTCTGATGCCTGGTCCAACCCCGCCAATTCACAATGAACGCTTCGTTGACGTCGCGATTTGAGTTTACAAGACTGTGTTTGGAGTTTGCGGCGCTTGCGGGATGCCTGTTCTTCGTCACCAGATGGGCTGTCGCTATCGTCTTCTGATTCGTCACTTGGTGATGGGCAATATTCCGGATCGTCTACTGCCCCACGCAGGCTTTCCGCTTCAGACTGCTCGGTACCGTGGTCCACAAATGACTCCCGTGACCTCTTGTTCAGCGCCCGAGCGGTGGCCGTCCTCATGAGTGGCTCCTCGTCGCATGTGTACTCTCGTTCGCGTGGATCGTTGGCGGCCTTCTCTGGTAGGTTTGTCCCGGTGCGGATTTGATCGTCGATCTCGTCCTCGCCGTTGCCAAGAGCTGACATGGAAGTACAGCTTGTTTGCGTAGAAACGGCGTCCCAGACTTGCGATTCAGGCGATAGTCTATTCGGGCGCGAGGAGGCCGGCGTTGAGGCTATGGGACTCCCAATTCGAGAGATCGATGATGAAACTCTCGTTGGGCAGTCCGCCGGCTTAACCAGCGAAAATGTGGCGCTCTGATATATTCGGCTACGGTCAAGTAGCGGAGAAGAAAGCGGTCCGTGGGATGGTTCACGCACATCCCCGGAATTTGACGTTTGCTCGCTATCACCAACTATAATTTGATACGTTAGCGATGCTCGCCCTTGATCGGCGATCGCATGCACGCCACGAGACAACTTACCGGTGCTGCGCATTTTCCCAGTTTCTTCTAGAGACCGCACTCCAGTTCGCACCGAAGGTAGCGTTTCATCAGATGACTTCTCGCACGACGTATCGGTGTCGCCAAGAGCCGTGTCGGAAACGTCGAACGAGTCATCTTTGATTGATGCCAGCTTTTGCGACGGTGCTGCCAATGCATGGGAATGCAGCTGACTGTCAGCACACCACGGTATCTCTGATGAAGAGGGCTTTTTGATGCTTTGATCGTCTGCCGATACAGAACAACTATGGGCATGTGAAGAATTAGCGTCCCGAGGCGAAGATTCACAAGACGAGCTACCAGTCTGTGATCCATCAGTCATCGAAGTGGGCGTGGATGTACATGTTCGAGGTGTCGACGCAGAAACGCCATTCAGGCATTCAGCAGCTAGGTCAACAGTCGGCCTGTGGCTCTCGTTGAGTTGTTCATGATCGGGAGGCTTGGAGTCGGCCATTTGGTCAATTGCTTCATGCACATCCTTGCATTGTGACGATTGCTCAAAGCCATCATCTGACATACCATACAGTTAGCGGTGGGCTCATCGGCCACGCATTATAGGCCACTTACTTGTGCTGCCCACTTTTCCAGCGTTTTCCAGAGACTGCACGATAGCCCGGATTGGCGGCATTGTTTCATCAAATAATTCGTGAGACGCGTCGTTGATGTCTGAAGCTGCATCTTCGGAAATGTAGATAGCGTCGTCTCTGCTTGACGCCAGCCTTGGCGACGAGTGAGGCGATCCTTTCGGCACAACAATCATTCCACGACTTTCATCCAGCGGCAACGGCGAGGGCTTCGGCAGTGGCCGAGGTGGGCGAGGATGCGATTGACCCTCGACGCACCGTGGCCTTGACAGCGGTCGTGGTGCCCAAAAGATCTGATAATCGAGATTGGATTGAGAGGCCATGTTTCGTGATGCAGCGGGCGTAGAAACGTCGCTCTACGCTCCTGTTGTTTGTGTTGCGAAGAGACGTCGATGTTGCAGGCGAGGAGAGGGAGTGAAGAGTGGCGTGCAAACCAGTGAGCCCAATACAAAGACTTCTGCGCAAGGTGAACCTTTTATAGCTTGGCAGATAGCGGTCCAACGCCACTTATCGTCCGCGCCCTTTTCAGTAGACAGGCCGTCCAGACGAAGAGAACACTTTCATCGGTCTCCCATGCCGATTTTTCACCAGAAGCAGGGCATTTGCGTCAAGAGATTAAGCCACTCGGACACTCTCGGGCCAGCTGCAGCAATCCGCAGTTTGACGTAGGATCAGACAGCTGACATGTGCCACCCAATCATATTTCATGCCTCTTGAATCACCAGCGTTAAATGTGTGAGTTATTGCATCCATCGTCCGGTCGCGACCGTACTGCCACGTCATCAGTGTCATCTTGCACCCATCCAAATGCAACGCCCGCCGCAAATCACTTAGGCTTGGCGACGCATAGGACCTATGCTTTTGCGCGGCCGCGTTTTGATTGGGTGGTCGATCGCGAGGAAAGGTGCTCGGTCGGGCCAGAGGAGACGGAGGACAAGGGCAATGCTCCAAAGCCGAAATGAGTCCGGGTCGAGACCAAATCAGCTGCATATTTCACCGCGACGTACATCACGCAGGTTCAGCTCGGTGGATTCCCGTAGTCGTGGATATGACACGTCAGACGGGCTGTGTCGGAGGCCTCCGAGCCTTCTGAACGCTCTCAATCCTTCATGGCTGTTGTCAAGCCCGCTTCTCACTGGCGAGGGCTGGCATCTGATTGCGAGGGCGAGGATGAGGTTCTGTCAGCTCAAAACAGAGAACTGCCTGCGGCAATCTGCCTCCAGGAGCGCCAGCAAAGTAACACCGTAAATTTCGGCCAGAAAACAGCGCTGGAGGGTTGCGACAGCTGCTTGTGGATGGCAAGCATGTTTCGCGAGGCGGAGGACGCCGTAGGCTCAAGTCGAAATTATGGGGGGGGGGGGGAGCGCAGCGTGCGCGGATTCCGCCGTTTCGTCGCTGAGTCGCAGGGCACAATCAAAGACGTGAGCGCCGCAAAGGAGGCTATGAAGGGGGGTGGGAAGAAGGAAAAAGTTGAGGGAAGAGGGCAAGCCGGCGACGCGGGCAGGAGGGAGTACTTTATAGCTGGCGCGCAAAGCGGCGAGGCACCAGCAGGGGCTGGGCGGGTGCCACCAAACCCGGAGGGGAAGGCCGCGACACTGAGATAATACTAGTAGTGCTTTTATAATTTCTTAAAATAAATAATAAGTAACTATAGCTTAGACTAGGTTAGTAATTTCTAGTAAATATTTTATATAAAGACTAATACTAAATAACTACTTTTAATAATATTTTACTTATAAAT